TAAGGTTTCCACCAATAAGAAGCGGCGCCTGTAAACACACCAGTGCATGCCCATCAGCTCAAAGCGTGCCGATAAGAGTTTATTTTGTCTTCCATGCTGCATGATCCTTAAACCTACACTTTTGTCCGATAATGCAGCAGTTGTCTGGAGCATGTGGGCCTCGTATCTGTGGAGATACGAAGCTTGTGTATTTTTGTAACATGAACTTTACGCTGTGAAAGAGTGTATTAGCCCCCCTAAACCCTGCACAAACAAACAGACTCCATAAGACAACTGAAGGTGGGAAAGTCCAGTGGATGAGTCCTCTGAGCCTTTCCAGCCCCCAGGGGCGGGTCCTTGTCCCCATTCTAACCAGGAACATGTCTTAAACTGCGTTGCTCTAATGGCCACCAGGGGGCAACACCTTGAATTGCACAAAAGAGAGTTTATGGACTCAGGTTCTTATTTTAAGGTTATACTGAATAAAGCATGTTAATATATTTTGATTATTATAAGTGTCAGTAAGTGATGCTCACACATCACCTGTTGGTTTTACTCTGTTCTGAGAAAATCACGTTTTTATCTGTTTAATTTTGGGAAAAACCAACGAGTTTAGACTGTCAATAAAAATGACTGTCCGCATCATCGAACCTAAAGGACCTGCGAGCGCTTCTCGTCTGTGCTCGCTTTGTTCTTTTCCAGTTCTGGGGAAAAAACTCAACTTGTATTTAATGCAGATGGTCCAGTTCCTGTTTTAAGCCCATCGGCGCGGCCGGAAACTGTTTCGCATCTACAGTTTTGAGGGAGATGCCTCTTAAATTTCTGTAAGTAGAAATATGCAACAAAAACTCTTTTAATTTTGTTTTGTAGTTTAGTGCACTTTATTGCAGTTTATGTAGTTAATATGTATGCATTAAGTCCATAATATTAAAATTTATGATATAATTAATATATAGCAACTTGAAATGCTCCTAAAAACACTCTAGGTTCTGGGCTTCAAAGGGGCCAACATCCAAAAACAGGAGGTGTGAACTCAGCCCGCCTCAGCAACATGCAAAATCAGCTTTCAGCAGTAGCTGCAGCTCATTAGCTTACATGCATGTGTGACAGAGTGATATCTCTTATTACTGTGGCTCAGGGAGGACGCTGACCTGCATCTCTGTACGTTACAATGCTCCACAGCTGCAGCTCTCCTCCGCCTTCCCCTGGCTGTGATCCGGCTCAGTGGGACTCATTAACGCCATAATTGGCCCACCGGCTCAAGTGTTTGGAGCTCGCTGAAAAGGAGGGGAAAGTAGTTTATTAATAATTACAGCCTCCAAAAATATTCCTGAGACAGTTTCTGTTCAGGTAACACAAACTGCAGAAAAATACCTGGAGGCTTTGTTTCTTTAAAAGAAGCTCATGGTTTTATTTTACCCTCTCGTTTTGGCGTCTCTTGGCTTCTTCGCTCCACCACATGTTGTGATCACTTTAATTAGCTTGTCGTTCATTGTCCGGCAGCTGTCAGAGGAGAAGGGCAGCGCTGCATCTCATTGGTCCGTCTCCAAAAGGTCGTCAGAGTGGGCTCGCTTGGCACAAAAGCAAACACAGGAGCACTTAAATCGGAATTTCTCCCACAATGCGTCTTTGAGCGAGCTGACAACACGAGTGAAAGCTGTGGGAGGGACCGCCTCTCTCTGGAGGTTGCATCTGAGCGCTGTGGCGTGGTTAGAGCAAACACAGACGTGTGAGCTGTAAAGGTGTCCACGCGGCTCGTACCAGAACTTTAGTGTTTGTAGAGAAGCCGGAAGGCTGACGTTTGTCTTTGTTCTGATTCGTTGCACCTCTCACATGTTTGGAGTTTACGTTGTGGTTGGCTGACTCTTTGTTTTATTGAATTAAAGGTGATCGACG